AAAAAAAAATAAAAAATAAAGAGTGTGCCTCAACATGGGTTTGATGTTCCTCTCTGCTTTGACTCAGGTTATGCATTTTTGGCTGTATTCTCACTGCATCCTATTAGATGGTACACAAATTAAATACTATCGAATGACACTAATTGTCGGTATTATTTATGTTAACTTTAATCGCTTGACTAGGCTGGCTGAGCCAACTTTTTCTACTGTAACCACACTTCTGTTTCGCCAGCTGTCATACTTTGCCAATAGTATATGCTGGCGGGTTGCAAGGGTGGAGGGAAGAGGGACATGCTTCCTCCTGTTTCCTGTGGGCTTCCCCTCTATGTCCTGTGCTGTCAGCACCTTACCAATGCTTCTTCACCCAGTCAGGTGTAATGTCCTCTGAGGACAAGGCGCTGAATTCACTTTTACAGTGTTTCCCCATCAGAAGTACCAACGTCAGGCAGCCAATATGGGTCCCAGACCTGTGAGGCCATTCCTCTGGACTCAGATACCCCCAGCAGTGGAACAGGTTCCTTTGGAGTTCTGCACTTCAGCTCTGAGGGACGCCTACCCTGTTCCCTTCATTTTACCAGCCTAGAGCTTGAAGCTGCTGCCTGCAGTTGCTATCCTAGGGATAAAATTGACTCTTATTTTCCCCTTTCAGATTCTTCTTCATATCTCAGGGTTCCCCATATACCCTTTCAGATCCCTAGACAACTATACACCAAGTTAACAATTCCTTGTATCATGTTGTTTCTGTTCAAATCGCTGCTGTGGTTTATGTCTCACTGGAATTTAACCTTGGGAAGATTAGATTAGAACTTCTGTTGTATTCACTGTTGTACAACGCCTTCTACATAGTGACTAATATTTATTGAATCAACAAGTGCTCGGCTGTATTTACAGAAATGTGTTTCTTACTGTGGGTTGAGGATGCAGCGGTAGTCCACATAAACACAAAGTGTCCAAAGTAGTATTGTTCATAACAATGAAAAATTAGAAACAAGATGCCTTTCAACAGAATGAAGTTATTTTAATAGAACGGAGCATAAGATGCTAAAAAGAACAAAAGCTGCATATATAAACATGGTCATAACTCAAAACCATTTTGCTGGTTTTAATAAATGGTGTTCAAGGCACAGTGTGGAAGATGACAAAATGTTACCAGAACCACCGAAATTCACAAGGAGTTTATACACAGTGGCAAAAAGCAGAGAGTGAACAGCAGTGAAATCTTCAGTGTAGGGAAGGAGGGTGGTGTCCTGTGGTCGGTCTATCTAGATTATGGACCAGCAGTAGACATGACAAGAACGGGACAAGAACGCAGGGCCTAGAAATGCAATAGCCACACCAAAGGGTGTCTATACAAAAAATGGGGTTTCAAATCAGTGAAGTAAGGGCAAATGAATGAACAAGTGAAAGATCCATTGGCTAGTCATTTGCAAAAAAAAAAAAAAAGTTGGATTTTTAGTTCACACCATATTTAATCAACAACACAAAGAGGTCAATAGATTATTCTGTTTATTCTAAACACATTTGTTTCATATATTTTAAAGACAAACCTGACAAAACACAAAGCTCTAAAAAGAATCTTCTTGTATCAACTCAAGAAGCAGAAATACACTTCATACTGTGGAATGACTATTTTATTTCTAATGTTCAAGTTCTAAACATAACTGCCTTTGGCTCTAATAACAGAAAACATCAACCCAAACTGTTCACTATCTGTGAGGTAGATAATAAAATTGAAGCAGAAAGATTAAATCACTACACAGGTCACTCAAATAGTAAGTGACAGGCATAGAACAGTTTGCAGAAACCATGCATAATTCTAGGGTGGAAACGTGGCAGCCTACCACAAAAAAATACAAATGCAGAGAGTTCTGTGCTCACATTAATATCTGCACTTTGCACTTAAACTTACATAAACATACCCTTTAGAAAACACAAAAATGGGGGAAATGTCTTCAATGGGCCCTGCTTTCAATCCATACAGTGTACGAAGTACTAATGTTCAAGGCCACCTTTGAAAATTAACTCATGTGTATCATAAACAACTGTGTGCTGAATCGTTGCAGATTTCAAATAAATCTTGACTTTATTAAATGTTGTGGGTGATTTACTAAAACGACAGTTTCTTCACAATGTCTATATGGAGTTATATATGCCACCAAAAAGCAGAAAACACATATGACATTCACGCATTCAATGTTCCTTTTAAAATTCATATATGTTGTGGTGTAAATATGTGATGGGACAACAATAGTATTTAGTGTCAGAAATCCTAGTGTACGTTGCAAAAGTTACTTAGATAAGGGTGCAATGCTCCTACTGTAACTACTGTGAGTACAAAACAAGTATCAAGGATACAGAAAACAGCTGTTAAAGAGCACTGTCGTGTGCAAGCCTGACCTAGCACAGACGCTACTCATATACATTTAATGCCGCTGCTCTGACTCAACTCACTCGCGCCTTTCTCAAAGCGATGTGTTCCTTGATGAGCAAGACCATTAAATAAACATCCTGTGTCATATTATTTGTAAGTTATTTAATACTGCATCCGAAACATCGCTTCTAGAATAAGATCATTTCTAGGTAAGGATGTTTTCCTCGTTTCCTAAACTGACAATTTTCTTTTGTTACGTATTCTGATATATAAATCTTGAAATGTTTTTCATGTTGTTAGCTTTATTCTACTCTCAATTATCTACTGGACAATCAGACTGTGAAAATTTTCCTACATTCATTTTTGGGGTTTTCCACTGTAAATTTCTGACTTATAAAATGTTTGGCTTGTTGATAAAGGTTTATTAAAATGCAGGATATTGAGAGCGGTTTCTCCCCTAATGAATTCTCTGACCTACAGTGCTTCTCATACCTTCATTAGATTCACAGGATAGATGGGATAAAGCATGGCTAGCATACACTATGACAACAGAAAGCTCTAAACATGTAATGGCTGAAAAAAAATAATTATTTCTCGTCTATGACAAGACTTATGAAGTGCTGTTAGTGAAGGCAAAACTCTGCCCAGGACCCTGGTTTCTTCCAACTTAAGAATCTGTAATCTCTAATGACTAGCTTCCACGTTGTCCTGAGGATATCTCCATTACCCCCTGATAAGGAAAGAAAAACGAAAGGAGGAAAAATTCCAAATGAGGTCTTTTACAGGCTTGGAATTTGTGCCCATATTGTGAGTCACAGGTCATGTGGCCTCATGTGTATGGAAGACAGGCTAGCAAATCTGGACTAGTTGTGTAACCATAAAGAAAGAGAAATGGGTATTGGGAAAAACATAGCACATTTCTGCTACAGGGTTCCTACCCTACGTGAATTCCTTGATGATTTGTAAGGGCTGATTTCCGCCCGAAAGCTTTTCCACATTCACAACATTTATAAGGTTTCTCTCCTGAGTGAGTTCTCAGATGGGTAGTGAGGGTAGATTTATGACGGAAACTCTTCCCACATTCATTACATTCGTAGGGCTTTTCCCCTGTGTGAGTCCTCTGATGATTAATAAGAGTCGACTTTGTAAGAAAAGATTTCTCACATTCAATACACTGAAAGGGTTTCTCTCCTGTGTGAGTTCTCCGATGTACATTGAAAGCTGAGAGATGACGGTAAGTTTTGCCACACACATTACAATGAAAGGGTCTATCTCCCGTGTGAGTTCTCTGATGTTGAGTGAGGGCTGACCTCTGGCAGAAAGTTCTCCTACACTCCTGGCATTCATAGGGTTTTTCTCCCGTGTGAGTTCTCTCATGTCGAGTGAGGGATGACTTCTCGTAAAAAGATTTCCCACATTCGTTACATTTATAAGGTTTCTCTCCTGTGTGAATTCTCTGATGTGCGTTGACATCGGACTGTCGATAGAAAGTTTTACCACATTCATTACACTGAAAGGGCTTCTCTCCTGTGTGAGTTCTCTGATGTACATTAACTTCTGACTGCCGGTAGAAAGTTTTACCACATTCATTACATTGAAAGCGCTTCTCTCCCGTGTGAGTTCTCTGATGCACGTTAACGTCCGCCTGCCGATAGAAAGTTTTACCACACTGATGACATTGAAAGGGTTTCTCTCCTGTGTGAATTCTCTGATGTGCATTAACGTCTGACTGCCGGTAGAAAGTTTTTCCACATTCATTACATCGAAAGCGTTTCTCTCCTGTGTGAGTTCTCTGATGAACATTAACGTCTGCCTGCCTATGGAAAGATTTACCACATTTGTTACATTGAAAGGGTTTCTCTCCTGTGTGAGTTCTCTGATGTGCATGCACGTCTGACTGCCAATAGAAAGTTTTACCACACTGATTACACTGAAAGCGTTTCTCTCCTGTGTGAATTCGCTGATGTGCATTAACATCTGACTGCCGATAGAAAGTTTTACCACACTTGTTACAGTGAAAGGGTTTCTCTCCTGTGTGAGTTCTCTGATGTAGCTTAATGTCTGATTGCCAATGGAAAGTTTTACCACATTCATTACATTGAAAGCGTTTTTCCCCGGTGTGAATCCTCTGATGTCTCTTTATGTCTGACTGCCGACAGAAAGTTTTACTGTCTTCATTACACTGAAAGCGTTTCTCTCCTGTAGGAGTTCTCTGATGTTGAGCGAAGGTGAAAGTTTTCCCACTTTCATTACATTCATGGGGCTTCCCCCTCGTGTATGTTCTCTCATGTTGAATGAGAGATGACTTCTTGTAAAAGGACTTCCCACACTCACTACATTTATAAAGTTTCTCCCCTGTATGTGTCCTCCAATGGTGTGTGAGAACTGATTTGTGACTGGTCTTCCTACGTGAATTAAGTTGATAGCGTTTCTCTCCTGTGTGTGTTCTCTGATGCGCTGTGAGATTTGACTTGTAGTTGAATGTTTGCCCACATTCATTACATTTGAATAGACACTCACCTCTCTGGCTTTTCTGAACTTGAGTGAAGTGTGACATCTTACTGAAATTATTTTCCATTTGATTGCTTTTGGATTGTTTTATTTCTGTGTAGACCACATGACATTTCAACAGAGATGGTATCTCACAGGTTTCCCCATGTTCCTTATATTCACAGAGTTTCTCTCCTATGTCATTTTGCCTGTGTGGAATTATTATGGTCTTTTCTCCTAAGGGTTTTCCACCATCATTATATTTTAAAGTCTCCTCTGAAGTCTGAGTATTTAGGTGCTGAATAATACCATTTTTATGGCCAAAGGTTTTCTCATTCTGATTATTTTCACAAGAAATCTCTTGAGCATGAGGTTTTTCCTGCTTAATATCAAGTAATTTCTCATATACATGTAAAATGCCATATTTTTTTCTTGAAGAATTTCTATTACTACCAATTGATATTAAAATATTTTTCAAACTCACTCCATGTAAGTCGTATTTACAGGACATTTTTCTTGAAGGAACAAAGTTTGCACTCATATTAGATGGTTTTCTTAAAGCATGAACTTTTTCTGAGGCCAGTGTTTTGTTCTTAAATGCAACTTGTGGCAAATATTTGTCTTGGTTTTCCTGGATTCTCTCTGTTAGGTAATGAGCTTTGTTGTCTTCTAGAAATGAAAATATTGAACAGACCATAAGATTTCACAGTTCTAATGGAACTGGATTAAGATACAAATGTCCTATTATATACTTGACTTTTGGTTTTGGTAGTCTCTTAGGATCAAAGTGCCTTTTTTCCCATCTAGTTCAAGAAAACTTAAGTGGAAAAAGGGAGAAAAGCTATTAACACAAGGACATGTAATTATTTAGCCCTTTATAAATAAAACATTTAAAACAGAAATGAAGATATAAATGCAATTAGCAGTGTACAGAAGATGGAAGATTCTATACGAGTGACAGATTCAGTAGGAGAAAAGTCACAGAAAATAAGATGGGTCCAACCGAGCTAATAAAAAGTAATTGGAGTGACAAGAAAAGCCAGTAGACAAAGGTGTTCAGAGGGAAAACATGAGACATTAAGGAGAGAAACTACAGAGTAGACCTCATACTCTCAAACCTATATTGTTCTAGTAACATCTAAACAAGTTTTCATTCTTCCAGCTGAAGTTTCCTCCTATGCATTAATAGCAAGGTAAATTGCTGAATGAGCCAACTGGCTGATGTTTAAGTAGAGTCACTAAATTGCATTATAACTCCCCTCCCAACTATGATTCACAGGAATACCAACAACCAACAGAAAGTATAAAACAATGACATTAAGTAATCTTGTGCCAATATAGATCGGATGTATCACCCTGTTTTGGCTCTGATACCTTCATATTGCTCTACTGGAGCTATTCAATAGGTGAACCTACCATGATACATTTATGTTCACTTGCTTTTCCTTGAAACAACACTGCTTGTGCCAAAATACTAATACTTAATTTTGCTTTACAGTTCACAGCTCACATTTCCACATTTCTATTTATTATCAAAATTTAAGGATCATATTTTTTTCAACCAAATCCCAGAAAATGAGTAATGTTTACGTTGATTTATCATTTTAAAAAGTATTGTCCACATTTTCTGCCCAGTGCAACAAAGTCTGCCCCAAGCTGAAAAAAGTGCCACTGGCCTGAAGCATGTACTACATGGAAAACTGTTACAAGTCACCATTCAGACAAACAAAATTTACACCAACTAAATGCACATCAGATTTTTGTTGTTGTTGTTAATGTTTATTCCTTTTTGAGAGAGACGGCGTGAGTAGGGGCGTGGCAGAGAGAGGGGGACAGAGGATCCGAAGCAGGCTCTGAGCTGACAGCAGCAGGCCCGATGCATGGCTCGAAGTCATGAACTGTGAGATCATGACCTGAGCCAAAGTTGGAAGCTTAACCAATTGAGCCACCCAGGTGCCCCCTGCACATCAGATTTTCAAGCTGCCATTCTACAACTCCCCAGTCAATATCCTTTGCTCCAGTTTAGTCAGTTGTCTCATTAAAGTACTCATTCGTGACTACAAGGTCAAAGTGTGTTCCCTCACTCAGAGCCAAGGCTAGGATATAGTCAACTTAGTATCTAGAAAAAAAGACAAAATAGCACTATTTTTCCAAAATTTCAAGAATTCCTTTTCAAATCTTCTTCAAGACTTTCAAAATTTATCCTAAATCTAAAAGTAGTTCCTACATAGATCAACTGTTTTAACACAACAATACCACTGCTTTGTAACATACTGTATCTCACCTAATACGATACACATATATTTAAGTTCTAAACTCAGAATGCATGTTATAATTGATCACATATCTGTGATCAACAAGTCACAATATAATATTTTACCTTAGTGATTCATTCACATAATGGTCCAGTTACAAACTATGGCTTCTTAGATTTGAGGGAATACAACAAATTTTTCTTAAGTAAACACTGAATTTAAAATGTTTCACGTAATTTAATCCTCATTTTTCCATCCAGAGGATGGCAAACTTCCTTAGAAGGCAAAACAGTACACATTTTAGGCTTTGCAGGCCATACCTGCCTTTCACAACATCGAGTTCTGCTATTTGTACATGAAATCCGCCAAAGATCATATATAAACAAATGAATATGGTTGTGTTGCAAAAAAAACACTTTTATTTACAATAACATAAAGTAGGTTTGCAGACCATAGTTTATAACCACTGCTCATAACAAGTGCTGTTAACTCTCTGATTTCCTTTGAACCTGAGTAATTTTAAATTAATAGACTTCAACAACCTGTGCGTATCAGTATTACCTGGAGAATTTTTTCAAACACAAATGTTTCGACACTATGCCTTTTTATACCCGATGAATCAGAACTATAGGTTCATGCAAGTAATCAGAATGAGTTCCCTCACAATGTTTTAAGAATATGAAATTTTTCTTCTACTTGATTCCAATCAACACGTGCTTATCAAATGTCTATTTCAGGTTGTATACCAAAGTAAGAAAGAGTACCATGATTGCCATTTTCTGTAATATCATTCATCAGGTGTGAAAAAAGATAGATACAATAAGGAAACATCATGATTTTGCTTTTGTTTCTTGTGAAAGACCCACTGCATGCTGGACACTCTGAGAAAGAAGAGATTACATTGGCTCAAACATTCAAGGTCTGTTTCTTGGAAGCCGATACACTTAACCTATACTATTATAGGTTATTATACTATTATAGGTTATTTTTTTATTATAACATACACTATAATATTATATTATTCAACATAATAACAATAAAAATGTTTTATTTATATACTAAACACTGTTCTGAGGACTTTTCATTCATTAGCTCATTTAGTATTCAGTCAGAGAAAGCACACAATGAAGAAAGGTGTGAATGATTAGAGTATGTTTAAGTGATATTTGATGAGGGGATCAAATGGTGTTTAGCATGAGTGTAAGCAAGATAAAAATAAGATTGCAGCAGCCAAATAAGGCCATAATGGAGTATGGCAAGTGTGGCCATAATGCATAATGCAAAAGGCAAGTTAATTTAAATTCCATTAAATAAATAATAGGGGTAACACATATTTACTTTGTCTTTTTTACTACTGAAAGAAAAGACGTTCTAAGGCAAACAAAACCACCACCATCAACGACAAAAAAACCTCTCACCAACTACAATTAGGAACTAGAATAAAGCAAAGTATGAGGGAATGTAGTTCTACCTGATATTGATGTAAAGTAAGAACATGAGAAATATTAGAAGTTTACAAGGAAGAAATACAAATGCAAAAGAAAAAGAATTAGTTTGTCTTCTGAGCTTCATAATTTTGTTACTGATTTCTGGTTTTATCAGACTACAACTAAGGAACGTCTTATTTCTACTTTGTAGGATTTACTGAGGGTTTCATTTTAGCAATGTTCTTCCGGCACATAATCGGTCTTTTTCCCATTGTTTTTAGGTACAAAGATATAATCTTGTAAAATAACAATGGCTGTGCTTTTGTTACAGTAGTTAATCTAATACAAGCTTGTAATCCCATTAATTTATTGCCTATTTATTTAAATAGTATCAAGTACTACATGTAGCAGTGAAAATATTATTTCCTCCCTCCTCCTCAAGAACCAAATTTTAGATTTTATTACCTTTCTAAGTTTTAGCTTTGTGCTATTAAACACACACAAAAAACCCTTTATCATTTGACTCGTCTGCATAAACAATACCCTTGGACCCGGAGCTTTGAATAATCAGAAAACCAGCATACAGGCATTCTCAGGCATTACCCTTTTCGCTTTCAATTTTATCATATACATATCCTTTCTCTACTTGAAAAGTAGGTGCCACTAAGAGATTCTTAGAAAACATTTGAAATGTCCAACTCCTAAACTGACCACTTAGATTGTAATCTCTCCTGGCTTCCTCACTAACCTTCCTGGTACTCACTAACTCACCTGGGTAGTTCTGGTACAGAAATTCTTCCTTTACTATCCATGGCTCTTCCCCTTCCTCCAATCTGAAGATCACCTCTGGCTTGTTAATGAGAAACCCTGTAAAAGGAAAAATGACACAGAATTTGGACAAAGCTGCATGGGTACAGCAATTCTAAAGGAGGGAGGAGGTATACTTTCAGGAGGTGGACCATGATGAGGCTCATTTAAACCTTTCATGGGATATGAAAATACAAATATTCTTCCTCGTGCTCAAAAGAGATTAACCACCTCAGACTCCTGAAGCAAAAGTCCCAACAATATTAACCACAAAAGACCAAATGTTTTGGTATCTAAGAAATAAAACGCATGCTATACAAAGTTCGGCGTGCAAATTGCTTACCCAATGAGACAAAGTTGTGGTAGTTCTCCAGCATCACGTCCCTGTACAGGGTCCTCTGAGCAGGGTTCAGGCACTGCCACTCCTCCCAGGAGAAGTCCACAGTCACATCCCCAAATGACAGTGACCCCTGAAACAGCACATTTTTGCTCAGTCTGAAGTGGTCAGAATTGGAGTAGCACAGGAAAGAAACACGGGAACTAATTCTTGTCAGGTTCATTGTTGAGTATCTGTTACAATATGCCTACTGTGTACATTACTTTGGGTTAGGTTTTGTACAAGAAAGAAAAATGAAACAACATCATGCTTGTTTTACTTTATTAATACCCTATGCCTTGAAATGTTCTGGGTGTCATAAATACTAAAAAAAATAAAACACTGTTCTTTTTCTCTAGAAAGTTAAATATTATACAAACATGACATAGCCCAAAACTGAAAATAAGGTTATTACTAGAATGTATTAGAATATGTAAAAAGTATACTGGAGTCAAAAATTTAACTATTTTGTGTCACAGCTTATGCTTAATTAAAGAGTTAGAGATGCAGGGCTTGAAACATGATGGATAAATGTTCTTTATGATTACGAAGCAACACAGTATACATAAAATACTGAAAGTATTAAAAACATGGGTTGACTTCAGCTTCTACCCCAGGATATATAAACAAAATAAGAAAACCACTCATTCCTATGATGAAAATGAGCCAGACTAACTTCAAATTCACAACTTTTTTCCCCCCTAACTTACAGGAGAGCCAAGGTCACAAAGCACCCAAGTGTCCCAAATCTAGGAAGAGACAAAATGTATGTTTTTGCCTGAGGTGCACCACAGGTAAGAACTCAACCAGAATAGGGGCACATTTATTAATGAAGACTGAGTGTGAATTGACACGACAGTATGAAACCCCTTCAGACCACAGACGTTGAGACTTGCCCCTTCTTACCAGCTTCGTCTCTGCGAACCCCACTGGGCACTTACACTACTCCTGGGGGAAGGGCAGGATTATGCACTGAGTCTCCAAGTACAGCTGGGGTTGGGGGTGGGGCAAGAGAACCAAGAAGGCCACGGCCACAAGGTCAGACCTAACACTGAGGCTGTATTGGAGAAAGAGGACACATTCTGTCAACAACTTCTCACCACCAAGCTAACAAGCGTGGCGTAACAAGTATCAATAGAATATTGCTGATAGATGGACAGGAGATAAATAAATACATGGAACGAGACTGTCTCTGAGACAGAAAGCAAAGAGAACCCTTAAAACTCAGAAATGAACAGACATACCTGTAAAGAAACCCGTATCCTAAAACACAAGGTGTCTCTATACAAACTTGAAGCCTGTGATGTATTGTGACTAATAGCAGAAACAGTAGCCCTCACATGCTGCCCAACTCCTAACAGTTAAACAAACCCCTGGGCTAAAGGCCTAGCAGGAAAGTCATGCCCAGATTCCAGGAATCTAGTTACCTCAGTTTAGAGTCTGACCCAAGATATACGCATTTCAAAACATATTTACAAAGCATACGAAAAGAAACTACCAAGATACTACTAAGATACAAAGTAACCATCAGAACCAGAGTCACATATGACAGAGATGTTGAAACTACCTAAGAAGATTTTACTTATAACTAATATGTTTCAGACTCTAATAGAAAAGATTATATGCAAAATCAAATGGATAATTTCAGCAGAGAGAACTAAATGGAAATCTAGAAATAAAAATATAGTAACAGACGAAAAATAAGCTTCAACAGGCTGAACGGCAGTTAACACCGGTAAGGAAAGAATAAACGAATTTGAAAATGGGTCAATAGAAATTATCCAACTAAAACTGAAAGAGAAGAAAAAAATGAAAAACAGAAAACAAAACATCAGAAAGCTGTGAAATATAATAACATGTTCTGACATATGCATAATTGGAACCTGGGGGGTGGGGTCAAGAATGGAACAGAAAAACACTTTAAGAAATAGTGTCTTAAAGTTTATTTATTTTGAAAGAGACAGAAACAGCATGAGTGGGGGAAGAGCAGAGAGAAGGGGAGAGAGAATCCCAAGGAAGCCCTGCACCATCAGCATGGAGCCCAATGGGGCTCGAACTCACGGAACTGTGAGATCATGACCTGAGCAAAATCAAGAGCTGAACACTTAATCGACGGAGACACCCAGGCAACCCCAAGAAATAGTGTCTTAAAATTTCTCCCAATTAATGACAGAAAACAAACTTAAGATCCAAGGAGCTCAACAATACCAAGTAGCATAAATGCCTCCCAAAAGCATAACAATGCACAACATATTAAAACCGCTAAAGAGAGAGAGAAGAATGAGAATCCTAAGTGCAGCCAGCGAACAAAGAAACATTACAGACAAGGAATAAAGACAATTTCACCAGGAGCCATAAAAACTAGAACACAACAAAGTGGCATGCCTAATGTGTTAGAAGAAAATCACTGTTATTATAATCCCAGCATAAAAGCAGTCATTTGAAAAGCACCTGGGGGTATACATGAAAATTTATTGACTAATTTTAGGATGTGTGCAGGAAGGGTGGGGATCTGCAGAAGCTTTTTCCAAAAACGAGGAAGCTAGAAGGCACTATTTTTCTTTGCCCTCCCAGACATTTATACAAGCCAGTACAAACACTCTGCATCTACGCTTCTACCACAATGTACCCCACCCAGTGCTCCTCTAAAAGACCTACTCCATCAACCCACCCAGGAGGGTGCTTCTCCAAAACCGCTCCCAGCCCACCCACCTGGCAGGCAGCCCCGGTGAGGAAAGTGCCTCTCCAAAGTGACTCAAGCCCTGGGGAGGTGGGGAGCTAACCGCACACACCAACGCACCTACAGCTCAAGCAGCTGAGACTCTCAGTTGGCCGTGCAGGGAGCTGTGATCAGTGCACCCAAGCTGTCCCAGCAGCTAAATGCAGACAACCAGGCTGAGTACTGGCTCAACCTGTGAGCAAGCTGGCATGGTGCAGCTAAGCCTCTTGGCTAGACAGGGAGAAAGATTCCCACCCCAGTGTGCATGCAGCAGGCAAAGCGGGTCATTACAGATAGCTGAACAGAGCGCAAGATACACCTATCAGCATGCTCACAGCAATCACAGCTCAGCAATAATAGGACACCCTTGAAGCATCGGGTTCTAGTGACCAGAGGGACTGCACAACAGGGAAAAGAACCCTATCTACACAATGCCAGTACTTTCAAGATGAGGATGCATAGCTGACTTACCTATTACATAGAAACAGAGAGGTAGACAAAATGAGGAGACAGAGGAATATGTTCCAAATTAAAGAACAAGACAGGGGCAGCTGGGTGGCTCAGTCAGTTAAGAATCTGACTTCAGCTCAGGTCATGATCTCACGGTTTGTGAGTTCAAGCCCCGTGTCAGGCTCTGTGCTGACAGCTCAGAGCCTGGAGCCTGCTTCAGGTTCTGTGTCTACTTCTCTCTCTGCCCCTCCCCTGCTCATGCTTTGTGTCTCTCTGCCTCTCAAAAAATGAATAAACATTAAAAATAAAATTTGAGGGGCGCCTGGGTGGCTCAGTCGGTTGAGCGACCGACTTCAGCTCAGGTCATGATCTCGCGGTCCGTGAGTTCGAGCCCCGCGTCGGGCTTTGTGCTGACGGCTCAGAGCCTGCAGCCTGTTTCAGATTCTGTGTCTCCCTCTCTCTGACCCTCCCCTGTTCATGCTCTGTCTCTCCCTGTCTCAAAAATAAATAAAATGTTAAAAAAAAAATTTTTTTTTTAAATAAAATTTGAAAGAACAAGACAAAACAACAGAAAAAGAGCTAACTGAAATAAACATAAGCCAATGTGCCACATATGGTTCAAGGTAATGGTCATAAAGATACCAAACTTGAGAGAAGAGTGAATGAAGTAACCAAAACTTCAACAATGAAATATAAAATGTGAAAAGGAACCACTCAGAGCTGAATAGAATAACTGAAATTTAAAATACATTAGAATACTTCTTCAACAATAGATTAGAGGACGCAGAAGAATGGATCAGCAACCCTGAAGACAGTTAACAGAAGCAACCAAGCCAAACAGCAAAAATAAAAAAGTGTAAGAAAAAATTGAGGGTAAGTTAAAAGAGCCCTGTGACATCATCAAGCCAAGTAACATTCATACTATAGAGGTACCCAAAAAAAGAGAGAGACAAGGAAGCAGAAAAATTATTTGAAGAAGTAATAGTTGAAAACCTCCGGAATCTGGAGAAGGAAAAAGACACCTAGGTCCAGGATGCACAGAGAGCCCCAAACAAGATGAAGTCAAGGAGGCCCACACTGAGACACATAATTGACACAAATCAGATAAAAGATAGTCTTTTTTTTTTAATTTTTTTTTTTTACTGTTTATTTTTTATTTTTGAGACAGAGACAGAGCATGAACAGGGGAGGGGCAGAGAGAGAGAGGAGACACAGAATCTGAAATGGGCTCCAGGCTCTGAGCTGTCAGAACAGAGCCCGACGTGGGGCTCGAACCCACGAACTGTGAGATCATGACCTGAGCCGCAGTCGGACGCTTAACCGAGTGAGCCACCCAGGCGCCCCTGGATAGTCTTAAAAGCAGCACGAGAAAAGCAGTTACACATAACAAAAACCCCATAAGGCTATCACTGATTTTTCAGCAGAAACTTTACAGGCCAGAAGAGACTGGTATGATGTAGTCAAAGTGCTGTAAAGAAAAAAACCTACAAAAAAGAATATTCTACCCAGAAACACTATCACTTAGAATTGAAGAGATAAAGAGTTTTCAAAAGAAAACAAAGTTAAAAGAGTTCATCACCACTAAACCAGCTTCAAAAGAAATTTTAAAGGAACTCTTTAAAGTGGAGACAAAGGTCACAAGTAGAAGTAGGAAAATTAAGAAAGAAAAATATTTCACTAGTAAAAGCAAACATATAGTAAAGGTAGTAGATTAGTTACTTATAAAGTCACTATGGAAGTTAAAATGCAAAAATAGTAAAATCAATTATATCTACAAAAATTACTCAAGTGATACACAAAATAAAAAGGTATGTCACATCACATAGGTAAAACACTGAAGAGGAAGTAAAAATTTAGTGCTTTTATAGTATGTTCAAATTTAAGCGACCTTCAACATAATATAGAGTACCATACACATAGGATAT